TTGCTGGTATGTCCCCAGCCAAATTGTTGTTCTATCGCACATTGCAGGTGGATTTCAATAACATTTTCACGCTTTTTTACATAGGCTTCAGCTTCTTTTTGTATGTAAGGCCAAAAGAATCCCTACAATATTGCTCTATGGGCAAGGGATCTGCCCCTACATGGCTTCCACATACTCCTTTGTGGACCTTATATAAAAATTCTTTAACTTAGGCCGAGCTCTTCTCTTCTCAGACTTAATCATGTAGGCCGAGATCTTGTCTTCTAGGATCTGGGATCCGAGATCTGAAATCCGGGATCTATTCACTTGGGCTGAGCTCTTGTTTTCTGGGACCTAACCATTAGGCCGAGATCATGTCTTCTAGGATCTAGGATCCGAGATCTAGAATTCGGGATCTGAGCTCTTGTTTGTTGTATCCAGTGTTGTCTCGGCTTCGTTTCAACGAACTGTTTCTCTTCTCTTGTTTGGATGCCTTTGTCCCCAGCGCGTCTTCCTCGGCTCTGGCATATTTCTCAATTCTGGCCATGAGCTCTTCCATGCTTTTTGGTAATGTCTTTGCCAATGACTTTCGAAGTGGACAATCATCTTTCAAGCCATTCTTGAAAGACACGACCGCGCACCTCTTGGTTGCACTCGGGTATTCGGTTGAACACTTCATAATACCTTTTGGCATAGGCCCTAAGGCCTTCATCCTCACTGATTCTCAGAGCCATCTAGGAATCCACCCTCAACGACTGTAGTTTGTTCGTCATAAACCTGGCCACAAACATCTCAGCTAGGCCCTCCTAGGTTTTCACAGTTCTTTTCGGCAACTTGTGAAACCAGTCCGATGCAATTTCTCCGAAGGACGAGGGGAACACTTTGCAGAGCAACGGCTCATTCCTGGTGTATAATGCCATCGAGTTCAGGTACAAGCCGACGTGAAAGTTAGGGTCCGACTTACCGTCGTATATCTGGAATCTCGGCATATGGAACCTCTTCGGGGCTTCAAATTTGTCCAATTCTATCGAGAACGACGTTCTTGACTTGACCAGAGAAATTACCTCGGCTTCTTGCTGCTTCCTCTGGAGGTAATCCCTCAAACCCTCCTTGGTCCGTCCAGGAGTCGGCTATCTCCAAATTTCAGCCTTTTTGGTGCACTACTTCCAGTGTCATTGTGGGTCCTTTTGGACTTCCCTCCATTGGTCGTGTCAAAACAGAGTTTCTTCCCCTGAGCATCCCGATGTTCTCTGGTGCAGTCTTCTTGGGTTCGACATGTCTTCTAGGATTCTCTTCTTGTTGATCCTCCACGCCCGACCTCCCGTGAAGGCCGGTGAGAATGTCTCTTGGTCCTGTCATGTTGAGGGACTGTAGGAACAGTTTTCTGCCCCCCTTTATGTGCATCTTTCTTGGCCGCTGGAATCGGCATATCTTGTAACGGGAACGGTGGCTACATGACGTTGTTCTGCATCATGAAATTGACGGCCGTTTGCAGGTCCGTCAATTTGTCCGCCATTCCTTTCATCTCGTCGTCCCTCCGTAGGCATCTATCTTTCTATACCTGGAGGTCGTCTTCGTTATAGTACCCACCTTGGTTCGATTTCTTTGGCACGTCGCCCTCCTAGCCGACGTCCTTTTCTCCGTGATTCTTATCACGAGTCTTTTCGTTGCAGTTGTCTTCTTCGACGTCAAGGTCTACATGTTTCCCACTTCCAGTAAGAATGTCGTTCCCAACCTTCTCTTTTTGTCCGTTGTTGGCCATCTATTCTCCTTTCTTTCCCACAAACAGCGCCAAATTATGGGTGTTGATTTCCGGCCACACAACCAAAAAGGAGAACTCAGTTGGAGAGCACCGCCAAAATAGTTTAAGCCCAAATAACCTGTCACAGAAAGATAAGAATCTCGCAGTGGTTCGTCCACCCGAGGGCACTCCGACAATCAAGTTAGTAAAATATCAATCAAAGATAACCAATAGTACTTAACTCACTAGACAAAGCATAAAAGACATACCTTAGACCCATGGGAGTGCCTCCTTTTTATAGCCAACGCAATCCTAGTCCCAATAGAAGCCTATCTCTAATGGACTTAGGATTACTGATAATCTTGGACTTCCAGTAGAATTAGAATAAACTCTGTAAGAGTCTTATCTTTACCCAAAATGAAGTCTTCTCTCATTCTATGACTCTTGTCCCTTATCTGCTTATCCCGGATTCCGGTATTATCGCAGATAACCTTGGCCTAGCCGAGATCATCTCAGCATCATAACCAGGACATGTGGCACCCCGACTGGCACTTAAGTGACACATCGGCCACGTGTCGTCATTTAAAATTTATGTCCCCACTATATATATATATATATATATATATATTAATAACAAAAACAACCATCTATTACATAATAACCATTCAAAAAATCAATAAAAACAACTACATATTACATGATCATCATCCAAACATATAATAAAAATTAATTTGTAAAAAAATTAAAATATAAAAATATAAAAGATTTATCATTTTTATATAATTTTATCTTTGGTGAATATATAGAAATAATTTTAAAAAATTCAAAAATATTTTTTTGACATTTATTTTTGTCAAACTAATTTATATTTCATCCAACTGGTAACTTTGCTCTTGAAATGGAGCATTTTCTATTTGCAAAAGAAACAGTGTTTTCAATTATTCTTATTTGGAACAAGATTCAAAATTCAGAATTCAGAATTAAATATATCACAATTGAAAGATCGGAAACCAAAGTGATACAAGCCTCAAATTATAAGACCGTTGGGTCATATTTGTGTATTTGCTCCAGTGGCTGGATTGGATTACCATGTGTAACACGTCCCGCGAGGGGCCTTCGCTACAGTTCGGACTCGATTTGTGTCGTGGTTCTTAATCTTGAACCAAAGAGTCCAAATCTGGCAAATCGTTTTGAGAAAACAGATTTTAGGAAAGAAGTGCCAAACATGGACTGCTTTGCCAGATACAGAGTCGCCACCTAAATATTTTTAAATGGGGGAATTTAGGAAACCCTGACTCGGTGCCGAAGGCCACATGTCCGTCATCACCGGAGTTGCCTCGGCTGGGGACTTAGATATGAGAGGGGAAGGTCATGAATTGAGCACTCCACTCATCCGATCAAAGATCGGCCTTTACTAATCATGACGTGATTTTTATGTACATTATATGCTCTTGTTCCAGTTTATTAGCTAACATTACTATGAATGCTTTTTGTTTTATTTATTTAATTTTTTTAAATAATTTTTTATAGATATTTTATTGATGTTTTATTTTAAAATTTTGTTTATATTTTATTTAATTCCATTATTTAAATTTTAATAGATGTTTTATTTAATTATTATTTTTTTAAAAAAATAAATTTATTTAAAAAATAACATATATTTTTATTGATATTTAATTTATTTAATTTTTAAAAAATAAATTTATTTAATTGTGCAAAAATTAAAATAAAATAAATTTTTATTTAATCTAGCTAAAAATAATTAAAATATTAAAGATATGTTTAATATTGCTATTACTTAGTAAATAATTGAAAAGGATAAAATAGTCATTTGAGCATTTATTCTTCTTTATAATATCCCAAGCAAACATAGGATTCAATGGAATAGTCCAATCCATACATCTAATCCCATGACTAAACAAACATAGGATACAAATTCAGTCTAATCAAAAAATCCGGGACAGACTAATAGTCGAGTAAATTCCAATCCTTCCTTATCCAGTCCGTCCAAACAAATATTGTTTGTTTGGGTAGACATGAGTTTGGGATTGGACTAATAGTCCAATAAAATTATTAATCTCATATTTGGTTAAACAATTGAAATACGAACTAACAATCCATTCGGATATGATATTCACATATGATGGACTATTCATTCCCACAGAGGAGTGAGATATAAATTGGAGGACTAAGCCAAAGTCTGGATTATTAGTCTCTCCTTATTATCTTAATTCAATCCAAACATAGAATAGAATACACAATCCAAAAGAATTTGTAGTCTTAAGACTATTAGTCATGAGAATGTTAATCCAACCTAATCCAGTCCACCTAAACAAATATGGCCTAAGAGGATTTGCTTGGCTGAGTAGATGGTGGGATTAAAAAAATAGTAAGCAGATTAGGCTAGTTTTTTATTTATTTATTTATTTTTTTTTTATACCAAGTGCACCTGTTTATTTTAATTTTTTTTAATATTAAAATAATTTTTTTATTTATTTTATATAAAAATAATTTTACAATTCAATCACTAACCATCTCTCACACTATCATCAAAAAAACACACTCCTTCTTAATATCTTCAAAAACAGTTCTCACATTAATAATTTTTTTATTAATCATTTTTTTACTAATAATCTTATACAACTTAATCTGCCAAATAACGTGGCCTTAGACCATCTCCAACGGTGAACCAAAATTGATATCAGATTTAAATTTTGATGAAAAATATACTTTTCCATGTTCCAACCGTTGCATCAAATGAATATCAAAATGAGAAATCAGCAAAAAAAGTATACCTAAACAAATATGGCCTAAGAGGATTTGTTTGGCTGAGTAGATGGTGGGATTAAAAAAATAGTAAGCGAATTAGGCTAGTTTTTTATTTATTTATTTATTTATTTTTTATACCAAGTGCACCTGTTTATTTTAATTTTTTTTAATATTAAAATAATTTTTTTATTTATTTTATATAAAAATAATTTTACAATTCAATCACTAACCATCTCTCACACTATCATCAAAAAAACACACTCCTTCTTAATATCTTCAAAAACAGTTCTCACATTAATAATTTTTTTATTAATCATCGACCACCTCCCCAATTCTGCTTTGATGCTCACCGTTGGAGCGCCTCGTATCAAATTGAAAAAATCGTCATTTTTTTCATCAGATTTGATGAAAAAAGAAGTTAAGCGTTGGAGATGCTCTTATCTATCAAAAAGGTATATTATCATGAAAATAAAATAAAATAAAAATAATTACTGAAAAACAAATGAAAATAAAAAAATAAAATAAAAAATTTACTAGTCTTAAAAATTTTGAAATCTAACGAAGACTCAACCCGACAATCGCTTCGATCTTTGTTCTTCCCAAAAGCTTCGATCAATGGGCTCTCTCTATCCTCTCATTCTCAAAATGGTATTGATTTCGCATCCAAAACTATCTTAGATCCATCTTTATTATCGCATAAATGTAAAACATGTATGAATTTCTCAGAACATTCATTCCCTTGCATTTGAATTCATCGTCGTTTTCCCTATAATCGGAATGGTTTTTAGTGATTGTTGTACCTACCTGACTTTGGGTCAGCTAGGGCTTTGAGTTCTTCAATTGTTTTGTTTTTATTTCGTGTAATTGAACTAGTTTTTGAATGAATTTGATACATGAATGAGTTGTAATCAGTTGGGCTTTGAAGATTTTGGAATTTTTTTGTTATTTGAGTGTAAAATGACTCCAATTGGTTGTTTTCCCTGTTTGTTCACACAATGGTGGTGAATTTGTAGCTTCTCTGACTAGAAATCAAGATATTAATGTTGGAATGACATAAATTCATCATATTCCCAATTAAAATATATGTTTTTGGCTTAGTTCTGTAGTTATCTATTTTTTTCTAATAATTCATTTACATAATAATCAGGAGCAAAAAAAAGGCACAAAGAACTGTACTGAAGGAGTAAAATGTGTGGAAACATATGTTTTCCTAGTGTCTCATTTGAGAGTCCTTGCCTTTGCTCTATTTTGAAAACATTATATTTGGATGATGTTGTTAATGGCTTACTTTAACGTCCTTGAACAAGTTATTGTCTAATATGTTAAATTTATGAATCACAGACACCCCAGGTGTCGTGTTCGTGTCAAACACGTATAGGACACTGATACATTGGGGTCACGTGTGTCCACGTGAAGGACACGCTACGTAGCACGTCATTTTTCTTATAAAAAAATTTCAAGACACTTTGGTGGTACTTTATGGACATGTGTGTCCTATGTTAGGACACATCTTATGATACCTTTATGAGTGGTTTTTTTTTTTTGTTAATTTTAAAAAGTTGACTTGTAGTCAAAGTAAAATATGAAAACAAAAAGGGAGAAAAGTGAAAAAAAATAAAAGCACATCCACATATACATTGTTGCCTTGTATATCTCTGTCCTAAAGTATTGCTCTCTGTGCTAAATTTATACTCATATACATAGAAAATGAAATATATATATATATATATTTTTCATACTCCTGCCATGCCCGTCTCTTAATTTTTCCAAAATTGCTGTGACCTGTATCCCTGTAAATTCGCCACTGCATACAAGCACCTATGTCTTTGTCTTTGGAAACATGCTTTGTTCATTCCAAGTATTGAGGAAACATCTCTTCTAGGGTTGGGAACTCATTGATTGTTCATCATAAGATTGGATTGGCTCAATTACGGCCTTATTCAATCTTCTTTACGTATAAAACATGCACTGGGTTTGGCATTGGTCTTCAATAAGCTGAACACAATCATGCCCAAAACTGGCTTGATTGGGCTTTTGAATATTGGGGGTATTATTAGAAAGCTCTGCTATATTGCTAAAGTTTCTTTTAACAATCTTGGTCATCTTTGAAACACCAAAATGCTAACAGTCATCTCATTTGCCTTCTTCACAATAGCTCTCATAGAAATTATTTGGTTTTGTTTTCAAATATATTTAGTGATAAAAAAAGTTTTAAAACTAGAACAAAATGAAATATATTTCAAAAAACCTCATCATTTTCGAACTATTTTGGTCTTTCTTTTGCCAAACTAGTTTTAGTATTTTCAAAACATTTAAAAAAAATTCTGAAAAATAAACCAAACAGAGAGATCTTTTGAATTTCCTTAGTTATTTTATGGTTGGGAGAGCAACACATGGAAGTTTTTCTTTGTTAGATTCACTTGATGCTTTCCCTCTGTTAAAAATTCATTTCTTCCAGGAACTGCTAGAAAATAGAGAAGAAGGTGACCAAGAGGAGCCTGTTGAAGATGATGCTGATTCTACAAATCGAGTTGTACGATTAATGAAGACACTCCATCAGACTAGAGGCAATGGTTTGGACTGAGTGAAATCAAAATTTTATTCTGGTGATTTGTCAATTGGCTCTAAATTGCCTCTTTTACTTTCTTTTCTGCATTATACGAACAAGTATTTATTATAGTAATAGTAACTACGATTCATAGATGATATATATAGTTATTACTAAAAGCAGTGAAATCAAGCATTGATGGGCTAGGCTCATCTCTACTGTCATGAGTTGCCACTGTTCTGTTATAATCACTTCTGACTTATGGGCTTGCCATCTTGTGGCATTAGCTAATTGACACTTGACATCATACATGCAATTTGTAAACTGACATTGGATGCAATAGTAATAAATTATACAAATTTATTTAATTTAATTGAGCATATAAAGAGGAATGACAAATCCTACCCGGTTGAGACACAAGGCTTAGTTTGATTTGGTTTGGTATCTGCAGTTTGTGGGTGGCAATTGTGGCAAGACTAATATGCATTTTATACACTTTATTAGTAGGATTACATGTTACTTGTGACTGTTTTTACTTGAGTTCTGTGGTAAGGGATTTCAATGCTGTCTTATAAGACTAACCACATGATAAATATATGCTAATCTCTTGAAGCTTTATAGTAGCTGTTGCCCAGACCAAGTAACTTCTTGTTAATTCTTGACAATTCTAAATACTAATTTGGAAACCAGTAGTGTGCTTAATTTGATGAAATCATATCAATTTTAGCAAGTCTACAGGTTTGTTTGTTAACATTTCATTTCTGTATTCTGTTTTTAAAAATTTTAAAAATTGAAAACGAAAACACCTTTGATAATTGTTTTTACTTTCAAAAAGTGACAACAATTTTTAAAATTTTAGGAAATAAAAAATATTCATTAACTGCTTTCAATGTTCTAGGTATTGCATTATTTACAATCTGACATCTTATTATATGAGGAGTCAACAATGCCTACATGTATGACTTATTGGTTTTTGGCTGAGATGGCAGTCCTTGTGCCACATCACTAGGTCCCATCAAGACAGCAGATTCCAGCTGCCATGCACCATCATCCTCAAGTGAGATAAGCATTTTTATATATTTTTTAATTTTAGATTAAGAATTATGACATTACTATCATAGTCTTAAATCTAAATTTGTTTTGGTCTTTATCACCAATCACTTGCTGATCATGTCATCTGAACATTGTAGTTGGTATATCCGCTAACTGCTATGAGATCATCTGATCTGATTGCTATCAGGTTATTTTGGAGTCGAACTTAAAATATTGATGCACTAGTTTGACTCTTCTATGTTTGAAATCTGTGTCAATCTTTAGTTAACTTCTCTGGACACCTTGATGATGCTAGTAATTCATTCCCAAGAAGAGTCAAATGCTTACTTGTATGAATCTTTCATGGATGATTGAATGAATTTATGTTCATTTACAAACTTGGGAAGTAAATTTTTCTAGGCTGTGAATTTACGCACTTTGGAAAGTCATGTTCATTTATGCACTGAATTATTAAGCTCACTAAACACAGCACTTTGTACCTAAGCTGTATTGAGCTAAAGCTTCTATCTTTTTCCCAGTGAGCATAGCATGCTCGCTGTTTTACCCAAATTTAAGCGAACCATGTACCTTAAAATTATGTTTGGATCATTGTGTCGCTTCTAATTATGAAACTGTTAGCAATACCCCAAAGCATGGGACCCACCCATTAAAAAACCAACTAATCTATTGTCTTTGCTATTCTTGACTTTTGAACTTGAATGGCCGAGTTATTTATCAAATCCATGCCATTTTGAAACAAATTCCCAAATATCAGATGTTTTGAACTTATTTCTCAATCTTGGGTTATTTTTTTGAAGTTTTGTTTCAAAACACAATTTTAAAGAACTTAAGTTTGTGAAATAAGTCAAAACAATTTGCATTCAGAAAATCTTTTTCAAAATAACATGGGTTAGGTCAACAAAAGAAATACTCTTCAATGGCCTTCTTTCATTTATTTTTGGCAGTATGGCCTGTGTGCTTGTAGTATCATTTCATTATGCACACCCTCAAAAGTGTCCCTCATTGTTCTTTTAAGATGGCTGTTTATTCGTTTGACACTTTACAGAAGCTAAAGGACATTAGGAAAATAAACAAAAAGATAAATATATAAAACTATAAACCAATTGAATAAACTTTGGTTGTCACATTCTAATCTTTTTTACAGGTTTATGATATTGTTCTCCACCTTACATCAGATTGTTTCAGGGAGGCCATGATATTGGCAACCAAATGGGACCGGTTTGTCTTCCATAGCCAGTGATTTTGTAGCTTAAGGAATCATATACACATGGTACCCATCTTCAAACTTTCTCTTATACCTTCATATTATGCATTAACATAATACTAATAGTTAGGATAGTGATAATGATTGACGAGTTCCCTCTCTCTGGTGATAACCAGTTGGCTGGCTTTTGTCTTTTGGTCATTTATTCTTCCAAACATGGACCCACCTTGTTTGGAATAGTATTCAAATTTTGTTTTCTCGGTTGTTTTTCATGTTTTTATATTTTTTTCATATTTTAATTAGATTTTTTTACTTTTTTATGCACTTAAAAGGTAAAATATATCTGAAATTTTTTTAAAGAAGTTCACTAAAAACAAAAAAACATAAACAAAAACTTTGCACATTTCCTTTTTTTCTTCTTTTTTTTTCTCGTGCTTAGTCAACTTTTTCAGATTTCTTCTCATATATTTTATTTTTATGCGCATCTCAATTAAAATATGAAAAAAAAAATTACTAAAATAAAATAATAAAAAAATAGAAGTCATAAAATATTTTTTGAAATCTAAACCAAAATATTCTGGGAAATGCCACCAATTTGTGGGTTTTTATATAGGCACTGAGAATGCCATATTATTTTTAATGTACCAATAATTTCTGGAGAATGTCCCCAATCATATGATTGTCTATAATATTACATATAAATTTTTAAACAACGAAGGTGGTTTGACACATTACAATCAGAATAATAGAATGTTACACTAATTAAGTTTTTGTTAAATGAGTTCAGGTTTATGGAGACTTAGCTGCCATTTTCTGATCCTTGCATACTGATGATTTGGTTGTGAGGTTCGCTGAGTCGCTGTGTACGCGTTTAAATTTTGTCATAATAGATTTTAATTATTGTATTTTAAAAAAAATTATGTTCACACGATTTTCTGCGGCTACCTAATGTTTATTTTGTTTAAGGCCAAGATGGACCAAAATTGCAAAGAAAATGAAAAGTTGAGCTTTGAGGTTCAATGTAACTAACCATGTGAAGAGAGTATACAATTCCATCCTAAGGGTTCATTTGAGAATTGATTTTTTTAAATGATTTTTTAATTTTTATGAAAAAAATGTGTAAAAAAAAAGAGAGAATGAATTTACTTTTTGTATTAACTTTTTAGCTAAAGTATCTCTTCCCAGTAGATTAAAACTAATCTGTGAATTCTACTGTACCATCTAGAGTTGTGTTTAGATTTGAAACTATTTGTAGTCATTGAATTCGAGCTATATTTTATCTTTATTTTTTCTAATTTAGACATATTAGAGCATATTCAGTAATACTAGTCGAATTATCTAGCCAAAATTCACTTTATTACCTTAAATAATTATTTTTTTAATGTACATTTCAACAATATTCTTTATTTTAGTTTTTTTTTAAATATTCATTTAATATTTATATGAGAGAAAATGAGAAAAAGAAAATGATTTAAGAATAAAAAAAATAAGTAGCTAGTGAATAGTGACTCAATAGAAACAGCAAGTCACTATTTACAAAATTATTTTAGCTACCCTTTTGACTAGTATGTTGGAGAGATTCTTCTTAAGTTTGAATAGTTATTTATTGATAATTTAATTAGCTTGTTGTGAATGTTCTTAAATAAAATTGTTAATATAGAGATTGTATTGACGTAAGGATTAACTTAAATTATCTATATCTTTTTATTCTTATAAATCTATGTTTGTGCACTTAAATGTAATTCAATATTCCAACACATTGTGTTCACCAAATAATTAGGATGTGACCATTTTTTATGCTTTTCCCTTTTTTATAGGTGGAGGTGCTAGGGGTGGGGTAGAGCATGAGCAAGAGTGGTGAAGTGTTGGGGTGACATGTCACCCTTAAGAGAAAGATTGTACTAATGAGGGAGAAATGATGTATATATATGGGATGGAAATTTATGAAAAATGGGAAATAAAAATAAGACATACAAGGTGAAAAATTATGTGTGTGAATCTTTTTATGTTTACTCTTATTAAGTTTAACAAATTAAATTATTTATAAATATATATTCATACAAATTTATTTAATCAATATAATTGGGTCAAGAGTTAGCGAGAAAATAAAGCAATAGACAAAAATCTCATCTCCACATGAAAAATCTACACGTGCAAGGTTGAAAATACAATAGTTCGGAAAATAGAGAGAGGAAACAAATCTTGTATCTTACTTAGTTTCTTACTAGGATCACGAAAAATACATGTGAAATGCGATACGGTATGAGTCAGAATGGAACGGACAAGTTGCCATCCCTAATAGAAAGTGACCACATGATCATGTGTCATTGATGAGCACAAAGTCACTATAACTACCAAAATTATTTTGTGTATCATTGTTCAAATAGATTTGAATTCTCTATTGCCATTTTCAGTACAATCTCAATTATAGTATGTGAAAGAAAATTTTAAAAACTATGATCCCATATCATTAGATTTCAACTTTATTTATAAAAACTATGATAAAAAAAAAAATGTGATTAGAGGGGTATAAAATGTTAGGGTTCCTCCAAAGAAGAAAAGCATCTATGTCTTTTCGAGGGCACTTAATTTCCACCCAATCCAATAGAGAGACAGCACACATCACACAAATGGAAAGTGGCAACAAGGGACCCTTGGGGGCCCTCTATGTCATCTCATGATGATCATTTGGCACTCAAAATCTTTTATTTTTTAATTTATAATTGGCCAAATAATGTAGAGAAAATACTTTTTAATTGAACCGTCAATGAATAGAGAGTTAGCTATATATATAATCTTAAATGGCTAAATTTCTATATTAAATTGCGTGTTGATTGAGAAAAAAAGTTAAATATAATTTTATGTCTTAAATTTTATTAATCGAAAAAGTAAATAAATGTTTCAATAATGTAGCTAAAATATATATTGAGTGGATATAAAATTGATACAAAAATAAGCTACCGACACAATCCCTTTCCCTCCCTCTCCCTTTTTGCCACACAGGAGCTTTGATAGATATATGGCACCTGCCCCCTCCCTCTCCTCTCCCAACAACAAATTTAACTAACTAATTATACAACTAACAACAATGTTAACAAATTCATTGGAGATCCCAAAAAATATTAATATGTTAATTATGTTTATGATTGACATAAATGATTATGGGGTGTTTTAAGAAGTTGGTTAAAAGCTGAAAGTTTTTTTAGCTTTTTGTGGCTAAGCTGACTTTTTCGTTTGTTTGTTTTTTTTTATTTTTTTTTTTACTTTTTTGTGTAAAAAAAGTTAAAAATTTTGAAAGGGAACCTTTTTTAAGAAATTCCCAAAACACGGCTATCTAGAAAACTCGTTGAAAATGCTCTCATCCAACCATGTTCAAAATTGCAATGTTGTGAGTCCACCATAAAGCGAAACCCTATTAGGCCAATTAGGGTTCTTTTCAATCTTGTTGATCTTACAACTACAACAAAAATAGAAATATATTTATGAAGACATAAAACAAATTTTACTGTTTTACTACTGAATACAATAGTTACTTCACTATTTTTAAATAAAAAAATGGGAAATTAACCATCAATATTTAACTAAGTAATATTACAAAATGGTACGAATGTGACGGTATATCATTTTCATTTATAAATTATAACTATTTTTCATCCAACAAAATAAATCAATTTTGCCATGTGCAAAAATTGACAGACCTTGGACTTTTGACTTGTATGTATTTTAACAAAAATGGAATCGTGTAGTAACCGTTAGAGTGTATATGTCACCATCCAAATCTTGTTAATAATACATTGATAAAATTGTTCGGACTTATTACAAGTTAAAGTAAATAGTCATAACGTAAAAACAAAAAATGGCATACCCTCAATTTTTAAATAAATTTAAACTATTTCTACTTAATAAGTTATAAACAAAAATTACACTAAAGGCACAAATTCTAAAACTAAAAAAATTACAAATAATTTACATAAATTGCACAAAACAGTTTGATTAAAATTATATATTATGTCTAAAAAGTGTATTAATTCAACAAAAATTGTAGATTCTATAATTTTAAACCAATCAAAATGTATCTTTTAGAAAATATGTGAATAAAATTAACAGTACTACTGGGACCCCTAGTGGGGGTGACCCCAGCACCCCGCCTCCACGTGAGCGGCTGTGATAGCAGGACTTAAAAAAAAAAAATTCACCAATTAGAAACACAGTGGGGGTGGTGAGGTCTGGGCCATTTCTCTAAAATTAAACTCTCCTGTATAAGTAAATAGTCATAACGTAAAAACAAAAAATGGCATACTCTCAATTTTTAAATAAATTTAAACTATTTCTACTTAATAAGTTATAAACAGAAATTACACTAAAGGCACAAATTCTAAAACTAAAAAAATTACAAATAATTTACATAAATTGCACTAAACAGTTTGATTAAAATTATATATTATGCCTAAAAAGTGTATTAATTCAATAAAAATTGTAGATTCTACAATTTTAAACCAATCAAAATGTATCTTTTAGAAAATATGTGAATAAAATTAACAGTACTATCGGGGACCCCCAGTGGGGTGAACCCCAGCACCCCGCCTCCACGTGAGCGGCTGTGATAGCAGGACTTAAAAAAAAAAATTTCACCAATTAGAAACACAGTGGGGGTGGTGAGGTCTGGGCCATTTCTCTAAAATTAAACTCTCCTGTATGCCGTTTATTTTTTATTTTTTAAATTATGGGTCCACTTTGGATAGAGATAGCTCTAGATTTGGGTTCTTGACCCATCACCACCACCACCTGACCTCTCAAAAATGCCGAACAAGAAAGTAAAAGGAGCAGTAATAATAAAAGCAAGAAAATCGTGAAATGAGGGCGTCTTAAATTCCGGGTGATTGAGTCCGTAATTTGCGTTGCTATTTCTTTCTTGCAAATGAGGGCGTCTTAAACCTTTTTTCTACTTTTTTTTTATTTATTTCGGTGGTCACTCATTTTGATCTCTATACTTTTATTTGGTTCAATTTTGAATCTTAATTTTAGATTTTATATCAATTTTATCAATTGATAATATCATTAATTATTTGAGATTAACTCAATAAGTTAAGTAAGTTTATAATTTTATTCTTAAAAATATAATACATGACACTTATGTACATAATTTTCATAAAGAAATATTAAGAGTTGTACTAACTTGGATCAAATTGAAATAAAATCACAAATTTAAGATCAAAATCGAGACAAATAAAATTATAAAGACTAAAATGACACAATAATTAAAGTATAGAGACTACCATCATAATTTAATTTGCCTTTTTTTCTATAACCGAGTGTCCGGAACAATTTACGCTTACCTCAACTAATCTCGAGATTCTAAAATTAACAACTGAGCGAATCTCCAATGGTTTCAAGATTTAGAATGTTTAACCTTAATGAAATTTGAATTTATGACTTCTTAAAAAACAAGACTTTTGGTTATTTTCTCCCGCGCTAAACCAAACCCTTGAGTTAACTTTTGTCTGCTCTCATATACCACCATGTTAATTTCGATATTCAATTCATTAAGATGTTTTTAATAAACAAATAAAGCCTCTGTTTGGGAAGAAGCTTTTTGAACTTTTTTTGGTTAAAATAGTTACAAAAGATAATATAGGTTATTTTAGTTATAACAAACAAAACATCACATCAACCTATAACCATTACACTCTTTTCTCACAAAAAAAAGTCAAAAAAGTTAAAAAGTCAAAAGACTCTTCCCAAACTAAGGGTTGGTTTGACATAAACTAAATAATACAAAAAGTCAAAAAGTCACTATCTTATTTAAGTCACATCATCTTATTTAAATCACATCACCTCTCTAATACATCACATAAAACCCAACCCAAACCCAACCCATATAAGCCAATAAGTCAAAAAGTGTACTTTTTTAGAACATCCCAAACCAACCCTAAGTTTTTTTATCTAGGCTAAAATAGTCAAAAAAATCAAAAAGCCAACTCACTTTCCAAACGAAGCCAAAGTGGGTCAAGACTCTTTTTTTTTCTTTTTTCTTTTTTCAAAATTCACCTTCTTTAAAAGACGTAAGAGATGGAACTTCTTATTTTTACTAAAATTGATTACAAATAATTAATAAGATTCAAATCTGATGTGACAGTCCTCATACCATCTTGAGGCAAAAGCTTTGTTTGATACTTATAAAAAAAAAACAACAACAATGATTCATCCCCTTTTCTCTCCACCTCTTTTGACCCCCTCTTTCTCTCATTGATTACATTTTTTTTTCTTTTCTTTTTTTTTCTACTCCTCCAATCACCACCCGTC